CAGTTAAATGAACCGTATTCCTCCGAACTTTAATTCCTAAAGGTTTGCTTTTTATGTTTTGATGTTGAATTCACTTTTTTGACAACAATTTTGGGTGTACTGTTTGTTTTTTTTATGTTGGGGGTGCGGCTTATAGTCCGGTGCGGCTTATAGTCCAAAAAATACGGTACTCATATTTCACCTCAAAATGAACAAAGTTCCTCAAATATCTACTACCAAACATCTTTGTTTGTAAAGTTAACGGTAATTTCACTGTTGACCAGCAGAGGCCGCTCTTCTTCTAAGAGAAAAGCATGCAGACTAAAATTAAATGTAAAACCTACAAAGCACGTGGCAGGTGTAAAGAAAAGCCAGCAGAATTTGATGACTGGACCTGGGCGATAGCCAATCATATCCTCTATGTTGCCATAGAAGCGCTCGGCTCCTGGGGACAGAGAGAGGATGGAGACACAGTCATTCCCCAACAAGTCTGTTTGAACAGCAGACATTTAAATAAAAACATCCCTCTGTAGATAAATGAGACATATTATTGCACCATAATGTGACTAATTTAACTCCCAAATAGAAACCCCTTGCTCAGCCTCATAACTGATAGCAGTGTCTTGCCATGTGAGCAACAGAGATGAAACTTTGTAAACAAATCTAACAGCTCGAAATCCTACTCACCATAAATCCAACCGATACAAACAGTCTCAAAAATAGCCACAAAGAGCAAACACATCCCACTGGCTGCGTAGTAATCAAAGAGCTGGAAGATGTACATGCCTCCCTGTGGGAACAAACAGGATGAAAACAAACACAGGAAACATTCTGCACAGATTTGTACTTCTGCAAGTGCCTTAATCTGATTAGTGATTGGAATCAAGTGGTTTGAAGTGATCACAAGGTGTGTTGGGAAAAGAGCTAAAACGCAGGTGAATGTGGCACAGGAGTCAGAAATGTGAAGCCAAGAGTGAATAAAATATCAGAAAAACACACAGCGAGAGGTGCACATATTACTAATACAATCAGTGTAACGAGCTGCAAAATAGGAAAACTTAACATAACCAAAACACAGAATAATCTAAGGAAAAAGGTGCTTAATTAAATATCAATAATAATTAAACACACATTGTGACATGGAGCTGCTACGAGAGCTGATAAAAAATTATATTTCACTTTAAGTATCTCACAGTTTTGTCAAACTGTTTATCACAAGCATGACTATTAAAGCAAACGTCTGGCTTACAAATGTTTTCAGTTTTCAGGGGTCCTGCTGATTTTTAGCGTTGAGATGTCATTTCATCAGTGGTGGGCACCAGTCCGCTAAAGCGCAAATCTGCTAATTGCGGACCTAAATATTTCATTTGCGCTTTAGCGGACTTACTAATTTTTATAATTCATAAGCGGATTTGCAATTTCTAAAATCAAAATGTAGTACCACTAATAACTAATTATCTACCAGTCATTATTATCTTGAACAGCATAATGTATGGCTGTCAATGAATCACAACACACGTGATCTATCCAACAACACCCCTCCCAGATAAACACACTCATTGGGAAGGTATACATCCTTGCTGACTGTTGCTTTCGGCCACGGTTCTGATTTCCCACAATGCTTTGTGTCTGCTTACGTAGCAGGAACGCAATAGCAAAAACAGTAAATGTTTGTAATCCATACCAAAATTTTGTATGTATGTATTTACTTTACAATCGGAGCTCTTTTTTTTTTTTTAAAGTTTAAACGCTGGAGCTCAAAAGCAATTGGCCAATAGTATTAGAGACTCAGAAATGATTTAAAGATGTTATGCTGGTGAAGACTGACATCTAGTGGTCAACTGGAGCAACTACATGGAAAACGTCCTAATCCAGGTAGAAAAAAATCAAAAAGAAAAAATAAGTAGGTCTTCTGGATGGGTTCTTCTTTAGTGAAACGTTACATCTCATCTCCAAAAGACTTCTTCAGTCTGATGAGTTTCAGATGAACTGGAAAACTTTAAAATCCAAGCTCTTATTTTGGAGGGAAGATACTAGTTTCCTGTTCCCCATGTTTTCGTTTCCCGTCAGTCCGTCGTACCCAGAAAGCTTCAGTTTTCCAATAAACAGTTTTAAAATTACTTTATTGATGTTTCTTCAACGAAAAATCTACAACAAACAAAAGAAAAAGTCAAAGAAGCAGCCGAACTAGCAATCCTCAACAACTTTTTAAAGAAGCAGCCGAACTAGCAATCCTCAACAACTTTTTAAAGAAGCAGCCGAACTAGCAATCCTCAACAACTTTTTAAAGAAGCAGCCGAACTAGCAATCCTCAAAAACTTTTTAAAGAAGCAGCCGAGCTGGCAATCCTCAACAACTTTTTAATTTTTACACCAGGAGCTAAAGATCTGTTTCAGGAAATCACATTCCCAGCAATCGGCGATTGTAGAATTAAGTTGTAAAAGAGTTCATACACTGCTAGTTGGCAGTGTTGTGCATATATTGTACATGAATTGTCAGCTATTAAGTGTCAAATTGAACTTGCGCTTTAAAATTAGCTTCCGCTAGTTTTTCAATGGCATAAGTGGTTTTGAAGTTGCGGACCTAAATATTTTTACAAGCGCTTTAGAAATTGCAGAGCTAATTTTTGGATTAGCGCTGCCCACCACTGCATTTCAGTGTGAATGAAAACTCTGATGCATGCTGAAACCTTGCGCAGTCATTGCGTATGTTGAATGTTGAAGCGTACACAGACAAACCTCTGTCAGCATTATGAGCCCAACGAGGAAGGAAACCACAGCAACTGCCAGGATGAAGAGCTCCCTGCGATTTTTACGACGAAAGACAGAAGGATACATATCCACCATGGCTGTCACGAGGCTCTCCACACAAACAAACTGACAAGGAGATGAGTAAAAATCAATATTTGTTTACATGTTTTTTTTTCATGTTTATACTCTCACTGACAAGAAATAGCTAAGCGCCCAGATGGAATGGTGGATATGAAATGAAGCTGGGTGTGTTGCAGGGTTCTGTGACTGCACTGCAATGATTAGAACATCAGGTCACATAGATAGAGTTACAAACATTGCTGCTCACATATCAGTGGGGCGTGACTTGTCCTCTGGCCTGGATTCAAAAGCTAAACAAAGTCACACAGTCTACGTTTTCTCTCTTTAAACAAGTTGGCCCACAGCTCACAGGTCAGGAAGGAAGGGGACCTGGCCTAGCCACGCAGGACCACAACACACATGCTGGGCAGGGACGGGCATTGTCTTGTGGAAAGACTTTACCAGGGAGTAGTGTCAGTAAGGGTAACACCAGGATACTGCTGAGATAAACTGTGGTCCCTAAATCCTGACCAGAGATGACTTGAAGCCGTCCTCTAGTGTTCGCCACACTATGGTGCGAGTGTGAGATGTTTCTCAGTAACACTGATTGTCATCATCTCTGAACATGAACCTGCTCATCACCAGTCCCATGTATTTTAGATAGAGTACCACTGGAACACATCATCTCTGCTCTGGTTTTATTGGCAGCCGCAAGACAGTGAACCTGTAGTTCAGCTTCCAGTTATTAGCCCTATTCTGATGGGATTAGTTTTATCTAGGGACAGCATGCTATTTGTAATAATTGCAGAGATTGTGTTGTTAATCCCGTGCGAACTGGCCATGTCAGTTATTTGTAAAGGAAAAATTCCCCTGCAACCTACTATATTTTGCTGAACTCTGAGGTCCTGTACTAATCCAATGCGAATAGGCATCTCTGTGATTTGGAGAGAAATGGGCTAGATCTGATACGTAGTTAGGCTTTTATTTTCTTTCCAGGACGCATTTTTATTTGCTTTTGGCGAAGAATTGAGGTTTCACTGGAGTGCATTGAAAACCTTTTGGGTCCTGGGCCAACAAAACCCTACCAACACATAACACGCAGCATCAAAAAGAAAAGGCTGAAGAGAAGGAGCAAAATCCTGCTTAAAGTAATGTACACTTTAATAAACTTTGTCAGGTGCTTGTAATGCTGTGTAATGTGACTATTTATGTTTTGGGTCTGCTGACCTTCACGCCTAGTTTTGACTGACTGTCAAACATTCCAGCAACTGCCTGATAACACACCCCCCTCGTGATGTCATCGTGGGTTCTAGATGTGCCAGCTTCTAATAAATCAAACCATTGCCCATCGCTGGTCTGTATGTTGACCAAAACACATCCACACTGGACCACTCCTCTGTGCTAAACTCTAAAGTGTTCTTTCCTGGTGTTTGTTTGTTGATCTCACCTGACTGTCCAGTCCAAGGAAGACAATCATAATAAAGAAGAAGCAGGCCCACAGAGGAGAGAAAGGCATCATGGACACGGCCCGAGGATATGCTATGAAGGCCAAACCTGGACCTGGGACACAATGATATGCTCTTAAAGGGATCCACGATTAGTTGTAACATTAAACTTTATTTGATAAACATTTATTTTAACTGTAAAATAAAGACTGTAAAAACACTGTAGGATGTTCAGTTTTGTAAATTTTTTTAATTATATTTTAACACAGATGGAGCCATTTTATTTACATGCAAAGCATTCTGGGTAAATGATGACATCAACTAGGTCATCGG